AGCATCCACTGTTGTTTTCATTAAACATTTCATGAACAAACACCACGTTTTATATCAACCTCCCTTAAGAAGGGTGTTTCAACCTGAGATTCAATACATAAAAATATGTACAGATCTCTTTGATACCTAGGGTCAGAAATGCAATGATATTCTCACAAAACTTCACAGAGAGAATGCAGGCAAGCTTTCGCTTGACCTGGAACAAGCCATTAGGGTCAAGGTAGATATTCAGGCTTATAATGATGGCACCAAAAATAATTTCGCTATAGTAATTTTATATTTTACCTTAAGATTTAAGTTAATCTTATATCCGCCAAAGGAGTTTAAAAGCTGCACGAGTAATGATGACCTCTTTTTCCCGAAAGTTAAAAAGTTCCACGAAGAGGAGAGAAAGTGTATTAAAAAAAATTCATGATTGTTCCTTCACGCCTTCTTCTTCGTCTCAATAGTCTACAAGACTTCCATCTTTTTCAGGATAAAACTGTAAGTTCTACTGGTTAGCAACTAAAAACAGCTATAGCAACAACGGGGATGCTCAGTGAAGCTGCTTATGTTCAGTATGGATAGGTTTGAGAATATTACATCTGTTGCATATCGCCTTCGTATTAACCTAGCGTGAGGATTTAGGCCGTGTGAATGATGATTATGGAGGTAGTAGTGGCAGCAGTTGTGATGAATTGGGTTCTGGGGAAGCATGTATGCTAAGACTAATAGAAAGTTAATACTCAGACTTAAGCATTGATGAGAACCTTAAAGCTTTAACAGCTTTGATTGACCTCTCTAGCTGCATATTCGCTTCTTATTCGTCAAGCAAATAGTGGGAATCAGTTTGGTGGTACCTGTGAGGTATTTTGGCATTCCAAAATCATCTAAAGTGCCTTCAGTTGGACTGCTAGATTTCTCTCATATGCAGGCAAGTTGAGCATAGTTTACAACTACGAAAGATGCTATAGCCAACAGAGACGGAAAGATAGAAGATCTATCATGTTTGTAAAGCTTAGCTTGCGGTTTCATTCTTGAATTCATAGATAGGCCTTTTGGTTACGAATAGTGCAGTTTCGTCCGTCTTTTTGATTGTTGGATACTTTGTTTTTGAGTGGGTGTATGTAATCAGTTTGTACTTGAACTCTGCAATACTTAATACTCCAAACACAAGAGCTTATGATTAAAACTTCATACCTTTCTTGATCTTTTGAAGAAACCCTTAATCATATTTCGCAAAAAAATCCTCTCTCTGAACCCTATTATGAACACCTTATTCTCCCCCAGAAATTCTATAACCCTTTAGTCACATACTCACAGCCCAACCCTAACTTTTGGATTCTTTCCTCGCAATCAGGAGCAACTTTAGTTTCATCTAGGCACTAATTGGTCATAGTCAACAGTACTAATACTTCCAAAAAAACCAGGCTCGTTAGACCACTCTTGCTCTGAGGTTGCTGCAGTTGACCCTTTTCAACTTCGGAATTTGCTATAATTACATTTATAATTTGATGCGGGATATCTTCCAATTAAAATCTTGTCTAAATCTGACTGGTACGATATTTCTTTATAGGTTAGCTCTAGAATGTGTATTTAGCTAATAACTTCGTGCCACATTCATTCATGAGTCAGGTTAAGAAACAAAGTAGCCTTCACTACTCTTTTCCTAATAAGAACAACATAGGCTACTAGTCTCTTATTGACAATGTTTTAAATTCTGACACTCACTATTTGCAAACAGTAAAGTCACTTTGTATTATAGAGGTTCACTTTGTATTATAGAGGTTGTGATAAAGGCGAACTGTACTTCATTTCAGAATTCATACTGCTACTATCGTAACGACTAATGGATGCAACATATACGTATTGCTGTTGTTGCTATTCATTCAAGTGGGAGGGATTTTTGGTTTTGCATAATGCATCAGGATTGGTCAGTAGTTCTTGGTGTTAGTTCAACTATGTTCATTATCTCCTTGGTAAGATTAGACGGAATCAGGTTTCAATTTACGATTGAAAATCCCTAGTCTACCATTGTGGTCTCTCATGACATGTTTGTTCACTCTCATAGGAGCAATATTTTCTCATGATTGCTGATTAGTAGCAAAAATATGTTTTTGTTTACCTTTTTTTGTATAATTGTAAGTCCAAACCCCTTACTATGAGGATACAGACCCTTATACCCTCTAACCATTTTATTTTCCCTTGCACATGTTGACAGCAGTATTTGCCCATTAGGTTATGCTGTCAAGTGAGAATTATATTATATATCTTTTGCCTTTAGGTTTAACTGTATTAACTACTATAAAATAAAAATAAAAAAAGACAAGATTTCCCTCTAATAAAGGGCAAAACATAATATAGTCCAAGTTTCGTGGGATGCAAATGCCGATAAAATCGTTTAGGAGTTATGAGTGGCTATATCTCACATTATAGAGAGAACATCTCTAATTAACCTTTCCTTTTCTCTATTTCAAATATTCTATGTGCAACTTAAATCAGAGAGGCCCTTAACAACTGTTCAATTATGAAAGAGAAGAGAAATATATGCGCAACTTAAAAATCGAAGAGGCCCTTTAACAACTATTTAATTATGAAGGAGAATAGAGAATTCCTACCATTAAACTTCCAATTGATTTCCCTGCAGGTCAACAAACAGAAATAGCTGCCAGCTTCATTCCTCGTGACAAGTGACAAAGTTTTGGATTTTTTTTCTCAAAGACATTCTAGTTATTTGAAAATTACGTGCAATGGGGTCTCGTGAGATAAGGTTAAAGTTCAAGGGGGTTTTGTGAGACACTCTAAAATTCACAGGGCTTAAATTATATACATAAGTTCAAAGGGACTATGTGCAACACCCCCTATGGTTCAAGGGGGTTATGTGAAACTAACCTTATTAAATTATCACTTTTTATTCATAAACTGTTATTGTTACCTTCAATGGTTAAGGTGTAACCTTTTTATGTTTCCTGCAGAATATGCTACAAATTCACAAATAGTTACATTTGTGCACTAAATGTTACCCTTTGATGGGTGGTATTTTAAGTGGAGTGAAGTTGCAGCCGAGAGACAAAGATGGAGAAAGAAAAGATAACAGAGTAAAGAGGAGGGGCAAAGCAGAGAAGAATCCATAGTGGAAGATGGGCAACAGAGGGGAAAAATAGAGATAAGGGAGAAATGTTGTCAAGTCTTATACATAACAATTAAGAGTGGAAAAGCAAGTTGCCAAAGTGAATATTCAAATTATTAGCTTGGGATAAACTATAGCCCAATGAGCAATTTTCCCATAAATTAAAACCACTAGGGCCCAAGATTGAGCCAAGAGCAATTGTGCAAATGCAGGCTGCCAAGGTGAATATCCATGTTTCTAGTTTGGGATAAACTATAGCCCAACAGGATCAGAAGCACTATTAAGTGTTTTAATAACCTTGAATTATGCACAAGACTTGACAACATTGTTCTCCTGTGCATTTGAATAGTGATATTGCACAAGGATTTAATTGACACCAGAAAAACGAGAATTGAGTAGCCACCAGATTAGCAATAAAGACCCCTTCCCCCACTATTGCAAACAAATAATGGTTCCTTATTTGACCTAGATTGCACAATACCTAACAAAAAACATGTAAGTAGCATTTTGTGATGAATGAATAAGCTTTACTCAAACATAATATATAGATGATCTGACAATCCAGAAAACCCAATCTAGTTGTTATCGGGTTCATGTTGTTTTCTCATTAATAAGGCCTTTCAATTAAATTCTAAAGAGATGACTCTATTACTATTTACTATTTATGTTTACTAAATAAAGAACATGACATTTGTCTGGTGTTAAGAGCAGGGAAGTTTAGTAAGCATTGCTATTTTAAAATCAAGTGGCCACAAATACTGACAGACTACTAAAGCTTTGTGGTATCTCTAAGGAGCACATTTCACACTTAACCATTTCACATGGAGCAGTTGAATAAAAGTTTACATCAAAAAATTGCCTTGAAAATTGGACAGCTCATGGTTATGACTTTAATCAAAACAATATTGTATTAAACAAAAGGGGTTTTTCGATATTGGTCCCTAAAATCATAGTGAATTTGATACTAGTCCCTCAAATTTTCATATTTTGATATTAGTCCCTCAATTACACTTTAGTTGTTGATATTGGTCCTTCTGTTAAGATCATGGTTAAAAATTATGACCTGTGGTTAGGTTGGTGCTAATCCTAGGTGGGTATTTAACAAACTAGCCCCACTCATTGAGCAAAATCTCCCCCTTCCCATAACTGTTTAAAATCGAAGGGATGAAAGGAAGAAGATAGGGGTCTGAATGGGTTTGGGTTTGTGATTAACGAGTTTGAGGATTGTAGATGGGTATGAGTTAAATAGATAATGGGTTTGGGTTTATAATCAGAGGGCTATAATGGTCAATCCACCCAAAAATGTTAAAGAGTTAACAGAATATTCCCCTAACATTATAACACCAACTAACTACAGGACACATATCAACACACTAATGGTTTTTAAGGGACCAATACAAAATATGATGATTTGAGGGACTAATATCAAAATGCTAATGATTTAAGGGACTAATATCGAAAAAACCCCTAAAAGAAAATTCAATTGCAGAACAGTATAGTCTTAAGTATGAAGGTTGAAGAATGGCATGCTAAACTGCATGGACACAGGTACGGGTGCAAGGACAGGACATGACAAATTTGTCCATGGCAAGGTACGGGGACACAATTGAAGCACATCACCTCATAGTTCTTAAGTAATTATGAAAATAATCATTTAAAATCATAACTTTGAACTGAATATGGGCTGAAACGCACCTGACCTTAGTCCAACAAGTTTCAGGAAGTAGATGCAAGAAGTAGATGCGAAATGTAGGATATACAATTGATTACACATCTGTATTTGTATGCATATATTCAAGGATCCGAGTAGACGTGAAGCGTAGGATAGAAGAACCAACGCAACATAGATGGCACGTTTCAAAAGAAAACTTGAAATTGTCACAGTAATGGATAAAACAAAAATAACAAGTTAATGAAAGCAATGTACTAGTGCGCAGCAACATACAGCTAAAAATCAGAATACAAATTGCATATAGCACCTAACTGCAAAATATGATGAGAGACTCGAAAAGTAAAGTATAGCAGTGTAAAGAGGAAAAAAAATTAAATTCCTCACCGGAATCAATGATGTCCCAGACGGGTGTGGAATAGGAACAGAAAAGTAGAGGAAAGACAATATCTAACCAAAAAAGAACATCACAAGTTCTTGATGCAGAAAGCAAATTAGAAAGGATATCTCTGTGGCTGAGCATCGGAAGAACCAAAAAAAATGGACGGTAGCTTTGCTGGAGGTGTCAGACAACTCAAAACTTTTATTGAAACATAAATCAAAGCCAAATATCAACTGGGTACAATTCCTTGAAAGAGTTCCAAGAATTGCCTCCTTAAACGCATCAGTTTTCGCAGAGATACAGACAAGGCCATCATCTTCTTCCGGATCAAATGTAGCCTAAATTAATGACACATGCGATATTATCATTATTATTACCTAATAATCGAACAGTGATAGGCAAATCAAGAGCAGAATGAACCTGTGTGACAATAATACGCCTGTGCCTTCCCGGGTCAACCCTACAAGGCTCTCCAGGCTTCACCTTGACACCTGAAAATAGTAACTAGTCTAAGAA